CCTTCCTCCTCCTATTTTCCCCACAACAACAACCCTGTGAGGTGAGTTGGGCTGAGAAAGATGGACTGGCCCAAAGTCACCCAGCCGGCTTTCATGCCTAAGGTGGAACTAGAATTCACAGTCTTCAGGGTTTCTAGCCTGGTGCCTTAACCACTAGACCAAGCTGGCTCTTTTGGTTTATTTGTGTTTGTTTCTGAATTATACAGTACTCTGCCTCAGCTCTGTATTCCCTGGCACTGTAGCTTGGAGGTGGAGTTAATGCTCAAATGATAACATTTTTCTCTTAGTCTGCTTGCTGAATTAACATGGTAGCATTTTTCATTTTTAGGAAAGAAAGCAAGGAGGAGCATGACTCGAGATCTGCATCTGAGCCAAAGAAATTTGAAGAGAACCCTGCCCCTGTAAATATTAAATCTACTATTTTTTAGGGAATTACTGTTAAATACAAAAAGTATTAGGCAGTGAGTCTTCCTGACTAAATGGGTTGGTACATATTGGAATTCTCTTGGCTTTCAGCAATTATCAGTATCTAAATAGAGAATGACATTAATGAGAAGTTGTACTTTATGCTTTGTGGTTTCACCACTAGGGTTGTCCTATCTGCCACTGAGATGTTTGTGTAGTGATTGCTGTAGCTGTAGGATGCAAGGGGAAAGATTCCCATTGCTGCTCAGTAAAGTTGAGAACAGCTGTCTTTTTTTGTCCCAAACCCTTTGAGCTTGAAGTAGGAGTCAGGCTTCCTGAGATGATGGAAGAAATTACTTTGATACAATAATGATAAATGTAATATATAAACTGCTTTTTTAAAAATGAAAAGCAGCTTTAAAAGGACTACATGTATTAATATTCCACCGTCTTTGGGAAGCCAAGTAGTTTTCTTATCACTGTGGAAGTTGACTTCAAGTGGATAACAAAGACTGTATTCACTTTCTGAGGTGCAGAATTTGCCTAGGAGACAGAAAGCCCTTGGTTCAGTCCTTAATGTCTCCAGTTTAAAGGATCTTGAATAGCCTGGCTTGATCACCATTTTGCTTGTTACACCTTGTAGCCTTTTATCTGGCCAGAATGCTAGGACGAGCAATTCTATCATTCTGTTCTTTATAGAAGGTCTGAAGTACATTGTACAGATCACTAAAACATATAATACCGACAGTCATCAACATTCCGATGTCTACTTTTGCCTAATCCTCTTCCCCCCTTTCCTTGCAGAAATTTAGCTGTGCTAGCAAATATGCTGCTTTGTCAGTGGATGGTGATGACGAAGCTGAAGGAGAAGAGTATGCTGACTAAATTCTCCATCCCCCTCCATGTTGTCTCCTAACCGGTTGCCATCCAGGAACTTTTGGAGAGCAAAACCAAACCTTTATTCAGACAAGACAGAAAAATAAAAGCCTACAAGTCAACATCTCCTGGGAGAGACCTTTCTTAAACCTTTCTTTAAAAAATAAGAAAAAATGATATAGAATTTCTCTTGCATGCTGCTGCAGCCTTTAAAGTATTGAACTCACTGGAGAAATCCCTGCAAAAAAAAAGTATAGCAAGAGAAAAAATGGCAGGTGTCTTTTTAAAAAGGAAAGAAAGAAATAGGCCTAGTGTGTGTTTGAATGTTACTTCACGCTGCTTCCGATCACATTCAGAGCCTCAGGTCCTTTCCATTAAGAGCTAAGGTTAGTGCTTTAGTAGGCTAGTGTGTGACTGAGTGCATTGGGAACATGGACAGCTAAACACTGTCTTTTTCCCTCTTTTGGTAGCTTGGGTGGCTTCTGTAATATAATCTCAAAGCAGTTAATGCACTGGGGAGGGAAAGCAGTATTACCTTAATTAGCTGAAAGAAGGGACAAGTTAGCCTTCAAGTTAGAAGATTGCCATCTCTGCCCAGCAGGTATCTCCGGAGTTTAGGTGCATGCCTTACCCTATTGGTATGGTGGGTGGCTTCCCTTACATCATCTGCCTTCTGAAAGTGTTAATCCCCAAGCCACCAAGGCTAAGCACTAGGGCTTTGCTCCCAGGACCCTCTTCTTGGAAGCCTCAGGGCTGTATCCCCACCCAGTTCAGGAATTGGCACTACTGGCAATTGCTGTGGTGTAGAAAGCCACTTTTCATTCAGTTGCCGTGATATCAGCCTTCATGACAGTGGTCACTAGGGCTGTGCAGTGTTGGCACAGAGAGTATACTGATTGAACATACAGAAAATGACTTTATCTGTTTGAATCTCTATCATATTAAATCCATTTCCAGTAACCTTCCTAGAGGTACTGTACTATATGAAGGAATGCTTGAGAGCAATTTAATTCTTGGAGATTATAAACTTTCCTTGAAGTTTTTTCTGTCCCTCCTTCATCTGCCCACTTTTAATCATCGACAACTACTATCACAAAATAATAGCATCCTTTTCAGTTTGGGGCACTGTTCAAAGACAGCAGGGGCCATCCAAAGACTGGCGGAGCATCATTGTTGCATCATGTGACAGTTCATTTCCCTCCACTAGCTTAGGTGTGGGTCCACCACTTGGGTAGCAGTTTTGATTTCCCCCTTAATTTTCTCTAAAAATTTAGTCATGCTATCAGAAGTGAAGCTTGGAAATAAGAATTTCTCCCACTTGTTTCAGCATTCTTTCATTCTCCTTGAGCAAATGGGTAGGGGAAGAAAATTGCAGCACAGGGAACTGAAAGCAGCACAATGGTTCAGGAGCCAGTTTACAAACACACAGTCGCACAGGAAGGAATGTATTTGGCTAGGACTTGGCTGGCTTTTATGAGATGCGCATGCATTCAGCAGGGGCTATTACCTTTTACATAATTTGGGGAGAAGAACAATGTGATTTTGCTCTTGAAATAATCTCAGCTGTATCAAATAGAGGATCCAGGTTGTTGTAAAGCTGGTATAGTTGGGGTCTTATTTTCATAACTTTTAAGCTGTAGTTAAGTCAGTTCTTTGAAATGGAAAGAGTATTGTCAGATATGAGACATCATAGACTGGAGATAGAAAGTGGGATGAGACCTGGTGAGGGCAGAAGATGGGTTTGAAATGCATTATTGCTTTGAGTCTTTAAAAAGCGAGGCGCTATATTGGAGAGAAACTGCTAATTTTGCAAATCCCAGAAGCATTCTCTTTCTTCCAGTAATCTTGAATATTCTGTCTCTCTACTATCAGGACAGGTTCATGAGTGGATTGAGGTGCATTTTACACATTCTGAAAACATGTAAAATTTGTACAAAATATCTTCTATGAAAATGATTTGTAATCTGCATGGACTTCCTGGGAGATGTCTTTTATTATGTAAAATTCCCCTCCCCTCCCCACCCCTTCTTGGTTTTTTGTTTTGTTTTTCTCCAAATAAAACTAATCTTTAAAATAATTCTTCAGAGCTAAAAAGGTCCTTTTGAGAAGATACTGCTTCCATGACAGTAGATCAGGGAATGCTGCTCTCAAATACATGAACGAGCAGGGCTCACCCACAAATTCACAAAGGGAATCTCTCAATTAGAGTCTTTTAAACAACATTAGGATTCCTCTGGGAAGTGGAGAAGCTTTACTTGAATGATAGTTTGCCTGTGATTGTCAGCTGCCTGTTGCAGGATTGTATTGAGCATATTCCAGTTTGTACTTTTTGGTTCAGATCATGACGGATCTTGCCAGGTGCCTTGCCTTGAAACCTTCTGCAAACATTCTTCCCTCAGTTTGGGAAGGTTTCGTTTCCTCCCAGCAATAGATCAGCAGACCTTAGCCTGGTTTCCTGGACTCACCACCATCACCACTCTTTTTTCCTCCTCTCACTAAAGATTATTTGCACAGAGGCATCTTATTGAACTTATACTGGTGCATGGGCAGTGCCAATTTAGCTACGCTGGTTTCCATTAACTTGAAATTAATATACATTATGTTCATAGTTCTGGATTTTTAAATCTTTTTCCATAGTGCTTTCTGAAGTGTGAGAGGTGCTTCTTGAACATTCTGTTTGAGCTGTAGAGCAGACCAGTATTTCTTCACATTTAGGAAGGAAAGGTTAACAGCGAAACAGATTTTGTTTATTTAATGGTCAAGGCCAAAGGGGTTGTGGATTTTGGACTTGGGTTTATTTGGCTTTTGTGATGTTATATATAGTTTGTACACTTACCCCAAAATCAAGACATCCCCAAAGTTTCCTCTTTTTCTCCCTTTCACTTTGGATTTAAGACCAAAACAGATAATTGGCAGGGCAGAGGGGTAGCTATGAAATGCTACCATTTTAATATCCCTTGGCCAGTTACAGCTAATTCATAAATCATCTTGAATATGGAGGTGGGAGATACCACAGACAGATTTGGCACGTGCATCCCTATCTTCTACCATAGCATGCAAACTTTTTTTGAACCATGGGTTGCGGTAAGTCTTAGGTGTCAAGTTCTGTGGGTTATATCAAAAGGTAGAGCCAAAGGAGAATGAAGACATAATTCTTACCAATGTTAAGAACAGTGTTAAAATTATTTTGTGATTTGCTGGAAGCCTTACCTTAGCTGGTAATTCTTTATAGGAAAGAAGGCTTGAATATACTTGGTCTATGTGGCTCATACAGAATAATAGTACAGTAAGGCTCAATGGACTCCAAGCCACTATCCTTGGAGAGCTAAATTTACTGCTTCGGAAACCCAGAATATTCTGTGACTCCTTAAAATTTGCAGTGGACAGCCCCATACTAAAAGAATGTTCTGAATCTAATTTAGTAAAGCTTCAGAACAACTCCTTAAGTCTATGAAGAATTACCCAGCTGTGGATTTTTGCTTTCCTATCTTATGTATATTACTGAGCTGTTTCTTTTCCACAAGAGAGAGCTGATGAGCTGATACCTTGCATTTTATTCTTTCCTGAGAAGTCATTTTCTGTAGCCCAAGAATATGGAACTGGCCTTCTAGGTGTTGCTGAATTAAAATTTCAAGTGTTCCAGGCCACTTGCACAATGAGTAGATGTAAAGACTCCCTTAAATCAAGCTCCACTCCTGGTAACTATGTAGTCACCGTTATTTTCCAGGGTATTTTTTCATCTTCCCAGTCTAGGCTACAGCCTGGGCTTTGAGGTTCTCCCATCCAAGTACTAATCAGGTTAACTCTGCTTAGCTCTTTCAAATAGTTCAGCAAAATATGGATAGGTACGGATTGTCCACTTCTGCTCTAGCCTGAATGGTTTGCTTTAAGAGTAGCAGTGACCTCAAAGTAACAAGTGAGGCACTGATAGATCTTTATATTCTGCACTGTTGGTTGAATTCCATCAAGAATAAACTATGCAAATTAAACTTGTCTATATGGATTCTCCTTCCCAAAATTAATTGATAACCCTTTTACTATTGGTTCTTAGGTGAAAACTTCCATCCCCCTTATCTCTTCTTGAACTTCCCAAGTGCATCTGATTGGTCACTGTGTCACAGACAGCTGGATTAAGCAATAAATGTTGGCCTGATCCAGCATTGCAGTTCTTAGGTTCTTGTGTTATCTGTTTCTCAAATGGTTTATGTATGTTCTTGGCAAAGTCAGCCTGTGACATCAGGTAAGGAAGGAGAGAATGGTAGAGAAGAAGAATAACATTGTTCTTGGCAGGTACTATAAAGGGGGGGGGGGGACGGCAAATCTAGGCAGCCCTGCAGTTCAACATTGGAATGTTGACAGTTGATTATAACCAACACTGGAACCTTATGTTCAACTGGATTTTTTGTAGTCGGATTTGTAAAGGTCCCTTCCAAATATTAATACAGTTTACAGCACCTTCCACTGCAGAACACAGATCAGTTAGGAATGTGTGACTTGTTGCAGGATCAGGTATAGTCTTAGATGTGAGTTCTTAGTTCCTGACTTGTTTTTCAGTGGCACCTGAGGATCTGCTTCAGTTGAGTGCGTAGGAGTGTGCAAGAATCAGGCTGGACTAGTTCCCTGTCAGTACTGATTCCTTAAATTCATAAAGTCCTACAGCTAAAACTCTTGTGTTTGTGCCTGTACTCATTTTGCATACTGAATATGAAAGCATAGCTGCCACCTCACAAATTTCTGTGATTTGCAGAAATAGGCTCTGCCTTGACCAAGTTCTTTTCTGAACCTTCCACAACGTAAGAGATTTTGGTGGCAATTCTGCCCCTTTGTACACACATGTTCTGAGGCGTGGGACCTGCTAATCTCTGATTTTCTTCACTACCACAGAGTAATATTTGTTGACTGCACTAGAATAGGGGTTTTCAAGCTTTCAGAACCTGTTAGCTTGAAAAAAAAATCCCTGGAATCCCTGATCAAGAGGCAAAGCTCTGGTGACAGAAAAAATGGCTGTGTTGAAATTAATTGTTTTCCCCCTTCGTCTCTTATAGAACCCCATCAAGTTCTTGTGGAACTCAGCAGTTCTGAGGACCACCGTTTGAAAGACCCTGCTCTAGATTATCTGCTTTTCTTGAGATACTTTCTTCTTTTGTTTGGTTTTCGTTTCTGTTGCATTTCTCATGTTCATACTTTTGTTAAATTGTCAATATCTCAGTAGAAATACCACTGGATTTGTAGTTGGCTTGGGTCCATAATGGCTCTCAAGGCCCTCTTTTGTAAATGCCAGAACTGCAGGAGCTTTCCCGTTCTGACGGGCACAATTTGTGCCTGTTTGTGCAAGTCCTTTAAACATCGTCAGGTGTTCATGAAATGGGCTGAACTGTTCTCTTGCTGCATATCAACCTCTGAAGGTTGCTGGCTCCACAGCTTTGGAAACACCCACTTCTAAGGCCACCTCATTTATCTGTCAATCTTCATTGCTGTGTGTCAGGGAATTGCAGATACTGAAATTGACTAGCCAGGATGCTTAAGCAGTCGTGGTTGACATTCTCAGTCTCAAGGCATGCTTGTTGATTAGTTCCACCATTTTCACTGCCAAAATAATGCACCAACAAAGGGCTGTGGCTATCAAAATGGACTGGCTCTGAACATGGTAAGAAAAACAAACAGGTACACAGTCTGGACCAAGTGTATGGGCTCCAACATCTCCCTTGCTGGAGACATGAATCCTACTCCAGTTCCACAGACTTCCATACAAAGTGTTACTTATTTTGCTCTTTCTTTACAGTTCCTGAGTTGGGAGTTCTTTAGTTGCTACAGCAGGAGTGTGCAACTGAATTTCCACTGACTTAAGGGCTGCACCAGGCTTTGTTCAGCTTATTGAAGCCTTACTCCAACAGCAAATGATAGTACATATTCTAGGGCTGGTAGTTTAGGGTTTCAGGGAGCAGAAAAGATTCCTTAAGCCTCTGCTCCTTACTCTCCAAAACTAAAAAAACAAAAAATAACAAAATGTTTGGCCACTTCCATTTTGGGGAGTTGCAAAAAGGATGCTGGTGGACTGTTGCAACACAGCTGGGTTTAAATGGGTACCTTTGATGATTAGGCTATTAAGTGAACACAGGTTCCACTTGAGTGGTTTTACAGGTGTCTTAAGAAAATTAAGCATCCCAAACTCTCCATAGTAAGAGGGTCAAGTATGCAATTCAGTTCTTGCACAAGACTGGATTAAATCTAGTTGCCAATCTTGACTTTCACTTGATGGAAACACTGAGCTTCAGATTCTGCTTTTCAGCAATAAAAGCAACGGATTTGTTTGTTTATCTGAAAGGAGGGCAGGGAGAGTGACAGAGGAACTGAACTTTGATTATTTTCCATATACGTCTGAAGGAATCAAAATGATGTTTCTTTTCACTTGCACAATTGTGCCTCTGTGCTTGCTTCCCTCAGGTTGGGTTGGTTGTGAAATGCTTTAGCCAATTCCGGTTTTCTCCTCTGCCGAAAAAGAGGTGGTGATCAAGGCTTGGTTTATAAAGGGCAGAAAAAAACAGTACTTCTTTCATTATGTTTTGTGATCCCTGTGTAAAATTCCTAAAGGAAGGCACTGATGTGATGTCTACTTTATCTGCATTGCCACCTTCCCTTGTTTGGTTGATGTTCAAGTTCTTAATGAAATTTAGTCTCCATTCCAGGTGTGGCTCTGATGTTACTTCAACTGACTCCAACCACAAAGGATTGATTCATGCATATTTTATAAAACAGGGATTCCCAAGTAGGGTGCAGCAACAGTGACAAAAACATGTCTTGAAAGTCTAGAGCAGTATTCCTCTTATTCCCCCAGCTATTTGCTTACTCTGGTCACATCCACTATTTGCTTGACTTTTTAAAATAAAATTATATTGTAGCTGTAATTAACAGAAGAAGAAAAAATGCCTACCAGAGCATTGTTGGCATGATGTCACATCAACATTAATACTCAAAATTACTGATTAATAAGAAAAAAGACCTGGAA